AGCCCCCGGGGCCGTTGGGCGGGCGCCCCCTCAAACCTCTTTTTAAAAAATGTATATTTTTTTAAACCAGAGAGAGAGAGACAGCAAGAGAGAGTGAGAGACAGAATGTGAGAAAGCAAACCATTAGGTCCGGGACTCAAACCATGGTCGGCCATGTGGGAGTGTTCAGCATTTCAACCACTACTCCACCTGCTGGTTCCTGTAAAACCTCTTTTGAAGACACTGTTAAAGTGACATAAGACAACCTGAGGATACTATAGATTCTTCTTAGGGTTTAGTGATAGGGAGAAGGTTGTTGTACCTGGAAGGCTAATATGCTTGTCTTTAAAAAAAAAAAAACATATTAATCCTTTTTTTCCCCATGAGGTAGAAAGAGAAAGAGAGCATGTGTAACCCCTCCCGACAGGATTTTGATGCCGTGACCCATCCTTCAGCCAGCCCTGAATCATGGGCACACATGTGCCTGGCCTGCTCAGGGAGGTCTTTAGATTTGAACTGGGAACCTTCCCATGTGGGATTGCCTTGTAAAGCATCACATTTTACCACTGCACGACCACCCAACCCCTCGGATGCTTTCTAAATGTAGACACAATGGGTTACAAGACTCAGCATATTTCCTGTTTTTGCCTTGACCTACGAGAAATTCAGGACTAAAATGTTTTATCATTTACTGCATCTATCATGGACCTTGGTTTTTGCACCCAGATTTTGTCATCGTTTCCTGCTCTCCACCCTTCTCTGCTTTAGTTGGGATATAAGCAAATAAGTGGACTGAACCTCAGAATTTCAGGTCTTCAATTTTACTCCTCCAGACAATAGAGGGTATTTTGTATGGGGGAAAGAAACATTTTTTCTGTTTCTTTAGTCAGAGGTTTTAAACATTATATTAGAAACCGTGTTGTGTAAGACAGCTTGCTCTCGTGAGTGTACCTGATTAGAAGGATTAGAATCCAACTCTTGGAAGGGATCTGGGTGTACATGTACAGGAGTATGAGTCTGCTGGTTATGTCAAGGAGGGCTTACTTTTGCCCATGTGGTTAGATCCTCTAACTCAGCTCTTTGCTTATTTATTTATTTTTCCCCCCGCAACCTTGTTTAGGGGTTGTTTTCCTTAGTCCTGGCTGTGTGAGTGACTGAGTTTTTCCATGTGTCATCTTTAGGACCTGAACGCCTACAAGAAGCAAGGGATAGCACTGCTGACCAGAGTGGGCGAGTCAGTCAAGCATGTCACCGGAGGCTACAAGCTGAGGAGTCGGCCCCTTGAGTTTGCAGCCATAGGCGAATACTTAGATACCTTTGCACTCAAACTGGGAACCATTGATCGAATAGCCCAGCGGATCATCAAAGAAGAAATAGGTGAGCTCTTTGTTGAGATCGCGATCGTGCCTGGGGACCACACTGGCACAATGGCATTCACGTGTGCCACGCAGAATCAAACTGCAGAAATGCCAGAGGGACAGCAGCAGGGCATAGTTTACGTCTAAAACAAGTAAATACAAGGAGGGGAGAGCTCCATGTCATTTTTCATTCTGTCGCCTGTCCTGTATCTTACCCTCGCGTTTGCTTTTCCTATGGCAACCAACCGCTTCTGAGCCCCTCGGCGGTTCCTCTCTTCTCTCTCCTAATTTTAGCTTTAAAAGTAGAGGCATGGACTAACTGCCCTCCAGCCACAGGAATGACAAATTGAAAAAACAAACTTAGGTATCTTCTCTGGTAGAAAGATGGTTCAGAAGGGTAGCATGGTCAGCTGTGTTTGTCCAGGCTGTGGCCCTCGTGAACCTTCAGACTTGAGACTGACTCTCACCCCATCCTGGCTTCATTTTAAAGCCACTCCTCCTGAGCTGGGGAGTCACCAAGGTCTGTGTTTATCCTTCTTGGCTGTTGCCACCACTCCCTTCCCACGCCTATCATGGCCACCTGCTTTGCCATATCTCAGAATAGTGGGGTCTGTTGTATCCTTACACATGCGTGGGCCAGACAGACCTGGACAGTTAATGATCATGCCGACACATGAAGCATGTTGGAAATCAGTGTCCAATCTGTGTCTAATCAGTGACAACAGTATTCTGTTGTCATGGCAAGAATTCTGGTGACAAAAAAATGGGCCAGATTTTCCTTGTAGGAGAGAAAAAATAAAAAATCAACATTTTCCTTTGTTCCCTGTGCTTGTTCCCTCTCCTTTACCCATTGGTGGTATCAGATGGAGCCTGAAATAGAACCAACCCAAAGGGTATCACTGTGAAATTTTAGAACAAGTGATAAGGTTTTGAAAGCTTTTAAAGAAAAATGGGAGAGGCAGGTGATATATAAAAAGAACAAGAATCAAAATGGCTTTAGAGATTGCTGAAGGTACTGTCTACATCTAAAGATCATGTGGAGTAAATTCCATGGGAACTAAGGTATTGGCTGACCACTGGGTGAGAGAGTGAGAGTCTATGTTAGACCTCAACTCTTTTTTTTTTGGAGAGGTTTTTGCTATAGGGCACGTGCGCTCACCAGACAGATAGAGACAGAGAGACAGAAAGCGAGAAATCACCCCCCAGGGGGGATGGCCATGCCACAATTCCTTCTCCTTCATTCTCCTCTCGGGATCTTGGGCACGCACGCACACGCGCCTGGCGTGAGTTTAAGCCACCAGGTCCGGGACTCGAACCGTGGTCGACTACGTTGGGAGTCCAGCAACATAGCCATTACGCTAACTGCTGGTCCCAGACCTCAACTCTTGTATTATTTTCTAAATTCTATTTTTTTCCCCATGGTGACTGATTTTTATCTTTTAAAAACATCCCCCATGTATGTAAGACTCTGCCCCAATTACCTTTTAAAATGCTGCCTCCCAGGATGGTAAGCAAATAGTTATTTGAAGATGTTTGGTGGACGTGGCTCCTTCCACTTTTCCCCATCAGCTGTGGTTCCCATTATCTAGGCACATAGCACTCCCATTATGGGGTGGAATGAATTGCCGTGACGTTAGCTTCAACATCAACTTGTAGAGCTATTACAAAGTTATGTTAGAAACAGTGTTGTGTCTGAAGAAGAATGTGTTCAGGTGTGTTAATGGCCAAGGCGACACATCTTGGTGTAGACGGCTCTTGGCTGTGGTGATGACTTACCATCGGGTTAGCAAGCACTCGTGATTGCTATCCAACCAGGTTTTACTTGGGTTCTCTTCCCCCTTTAGAGTACCTCGTAGAGCTGAGAGAATACGGGCCTGTGTACTCTACATGGAGCGCGTTAGAGGGTGAGCTGGCTGAACCCCTAGAGGGCGTGTCGGCTTGTATTGGGAACTGTTCTACGGCCTTGGAAGAGCTGACAGATGACATGACAGAAGACTTCCTACCTGTGCTCAGGGAATATATTTTATACTCTGACTCCATGAAGGTAAGCTGGCTTGCTTTTGTGTACACTTTGGTTATTTATTTATTTATTTTTTTTGGTAATAGTCATTATAAAAAAGTAATGGACTTTTGCCTGTTTGCTTGTGGTACAAGTTTCTTTCTTCCTGGGTGTGCACGATGAGACATGTGGACCGCCCCAGGGACTTGTGACTAGAACACATGTTGAACCGAGTATGTGCGTTAAATGGAAAAGAAACAAACAAAATATATAATTTGGAAGAAATTCTTATTCGTGTTCTGTAGACACTATGGAAGAACAGCTCTTTCAAGTTAAAATATCATTGCTGAAATAAAATTGATAGTAAAGCTGAAAGATAGATTGAGGAAGTCTTGTAAGACAAACAAAAATACTTGGAAAATAGAACAAAAATGCAAAATGCACATTAAAGAAGGATAAGAGATGGGATTAAACACAAAGGTTCAGCTTCTGGGTGATAAGACTTCCTGATTGAGGGAGCTGAGGAAAATGGAGGGAAGAAAAATTTATGAGAAATAATACAAGACAATCCTCTAAAGTTACAGATAAAAGTCTTCAGGTTAGCATGACATGCTAACTGCCCAGCAAAAGGAATGAAAACCAAACCAACCCAAAGTGTATGGTTGTGAAATTTTAGAACAAAAGTGATAAAATTTTGGAAGCTTTTAAAGAAAGCAGGAGAGGGACCAGCAGATGGGATAATGGTTATGCCGCTGGACTCTCACATAGTTGACTGTGGTTTGCGTCCTGGACCCAGTGGCTTTAAACTCATGCTGGGAATGTGTGTGTGTGTGTGTGTGTGTGTGCCCAAAATTCCAGAGAATGGAGGGGAAGAGATTGTAGCATGGCCATCCCCCTTGGGGAGTGATTTCTTACTTTCTGTCTATCTCCCTGTTTCTCTGGCAAGCATATGTGCCCTATAGCAAAAATCTCTCAAAAAAAGGAAATAAATAAAAAAGAAAACTGGGGAGACAAGTGATATATAAAAGGAACAAGAATTAGAATAGCGTTGGTTTAACAGCAAGGGATGAAAAAAGACAGTGGAACTATGAGGACCAAAGGTTTCCATCCTCAAATTCCACAGGTAGAATAAGTGTGAGGTGTAGGTTGAAATGCCTGAATGCCTACACCAGAAACTTCTCCAGCCTACACATAGATTGCCTGGAGAAGATAGCTTCAGGGAACTTGTGGGACAGTGGCACCAGCTGGAGAAAAGGGCCAATCTTCCTGACCAGCAGAACAGATACGGGGCTCAATGTTGAACATGCCTACCTCCAGGTAGCTCCCTTTATACTTCCAGAACAGAACTCTGAACTATTCCTCTGTCTCTGGGACAGATCTAGGCCATCCTGGTAGGAAAGACCCAGTAAGATCTGAACTGAGTAGAGAAACTTGTCGGTCTACATGGGGTTTAAAAATGGAAAACCCCAAAAATAATAGAACTATGAAAATATTCTATAGTTTGGGAGGGGAAGTGAAAAATAATGAATCAATTTACAGTAATTATAAAAACTTAAAACATTATTATGGAAAATTTCTAGCATATACAAAAGCAGAGAGAATAGTTTGACAACCTCCCATATACCCATAATCCTTTTTCCATCTTGTTTCATTAAGTATGAATATTTTTTCTTGGATCAGTGATCCAGTAAAAAATAAAACAGTGATCAAAGTGATTGATCAGAGAAATTTTGAACTTCTTATCTATAAAGTGAAGTAGATGGTGATGCGAGAGGATAAAGTTCAAATGAGAGATCTCTAGCCTGAGGCAGCTTTGTTATAATTACCCAAACTCCAAATTTGCGACTTTTTTTTGCTTAATAAAGATTTTTGCCATAGGGCCTGTGCATTCATGGGAGAAAGAGAGGGAGAAAAACTGAGAGCTCACCTCCCGTGGGCCATGCCACAATCCCTTCAACCACACAGTAGACCACATGGGGTCCAGCACCTTCACCACCACGCCACTTGCTATCCACAAATTTGCAACTTTTTAAAAAGTTTAAAAATTTCTTACACGTTGCATTTTTTTCTTTAATTTTTTTTTTTTTTTTGAAAGAAAGTGCTTGCACTCGCCAGATAGAGTCAGAGAGAAAAAGAGAAAGTGAGAAAGCACTCCTATCAGGGGATGGTCACACTGCAATTCCTTCTCCCATTTCTTCTTTTGGGGTTCTGGGCACACGTGCACATTCATCCAGTAGGATTTTCAACCTGCTGGGTCTGGGACTCCAACTGTGTGTTTGGCCGTGTGGGATCCAGCTGCTCTAACCATCATGCTATGGGCTGGCCCTACATGTTGCGTTTTTAATCCTATGGCTGAAACAAGTATAGAAAGGTATCTTGATTTAATTTAAATAAACCAGAATAGTTAACATTACTTACGAAGTTATAGCATCCGGGTTTTTGTTGTTGTTGTTGTTTTTTCATATTTGCTATAGCAAGCATGCTCTCACTGGAGACAGAGAGAAAGTGAGAGCGAGAGAGAGAGAACACCTCTAGAGGGATGACCACGCTGTAATCCCTTCTCCTCCATTCTCCTCTTGGGATCTTGGACATGCATACACACAAGCCCAGCATGTTTTTCAAACTGCCTGGTCTAAGACTTAAACAGTGCAGTTAGCCATGTGGGGTCCAGCCACCTTAACCACTGTGCCACCTGACTGGCCCCTATAGTATCTGTGTTTGTGAACAAAATAAGTGTTTACAATCCCTGAGTTGTCCTTGAATTTCTGTCCTGCATAGACATATCATTCATCAGAATGCTCCCTAATCTTGCCAGACTGAAAATTCAATGCATACGTGGCACTGGAGTATTTTAGTACAAATTACCTTGATCACTGTTTTCTTTTGTTCTGGCACTTGCTAAGTGTGTTAGTACTTTGATATATGTTTGTACTTGATGCAGTTTTCAATTGTCGTTTAGTGAGGATTTATCTGGCATCTTACTAAAACGCTGTCATGCTGTGAGACATAAGCTTACATGAGTCATTGAAGTTATAAATCAAAGAGACACGTGTTTGTCTTCTTTCTTCCCCGCATGTGTGAGGTGTACGTATTGAGTTTCTTGTTTACTGAGCATGAAACATTTCAGTCAGGTTAATCGGGTTGGGAACAGTGTTGTCAGGGGAAGGCCTGGTAAGGAGAAGTATTGACTGCAGCCTCTGAAACCCAGGTCTGCCCCCGGTGAGCTGAGCGGAGTCCAGTTAGTAAGAAATGGGGTCACCTGCTCCCCTTCTCCCCAACAGGAACATACCTGTGCAGAACGTTCTGGAAGAGACAGGAAAAGATTTGATGGCAAAGCCAAGGCTGCATGTAGGACTGTCGGGGTCCCTGCAGCCAGACTGCAGATCTTGAGAAGGTCTGAAGTGGCTCCCTGCCTTTCACATTGCTAATCTGTAGGATTTTTTTTTTCCCCAAAGGGCATGCACAGTTGCCAAAGAGAGACAGAAACACACCACTATCATTTTCATACAGGGGAAGGGAGGGAGAAAACACGCTCTAGTGGGGCTCAATCATGCCGTATTGCCCTCTCCTCCATTTCTTCATCCTGTTGGGATTTGGGGAGCATGTGTACACATACACACACCCACACACACACACACACACACACACACACTGCCCATGTATTTTTCAAGCCAACAGGTCTGGGACTTGAACTGTGGCCATTTGGTATCCCTTAATCACCAGCCATTGGTCAGCCTGCTCAAGAATTTTAAACTCTGAGCAAGTCAGATTTTCAAAAGTTGCTTTCTGGCTTTTGAGATATCAGCAGGATAGACATCACTATTGTGTTTAAAAACTAAAAATGGAGCAGAGGGGATGCTCAAGACATGGTTGGGACCTGTGTCTCGTTAACTGCGAAATCGTCTCCAGAGCTGAGAAAGTCCTGGTTTTGTTTAGGTGGGGAGTTACTGATACAGTGATGCTGGTCAGTCTACTCTTACCCTGCCTGTGGGTGGACCAAAGTGTCTGTTATTTGGAGTCAGCAGCCTGTGTCTTAGGAATTTGAAGAAGTTAAGGGTTAGTCAGTCTAAAATGCTGGGGCTCACTGAAGCTCTCCCCCACAGGGCTACGGTTGGGGTTCTTCTTCGAGTTTGAAATGGGCTTTGGGATCATTTTATCTCATTTACTCATTTAGAGATGAAGAAATGGAACCTGGGGGACCAGCAGTTAGCGTAATGGTTATGTCACTGGACTCCTATGTAGTTGACTGCGGTTCGAGTCCCAGACCCGGTGGCTTAAAACTCACACTGGGTGCATGTGTGTGCGTGCCCGTGTGCCCAAGATCCCGAGAGGAGAATGGAGGAGAAGGGATTGCGGTGTGGCTATCTCCCCTGGGGGGTGATTTCTCACTTTCTGTCTCTGTCTCTCTCTGTCTTTCTGGCAAGCGCACGCACCCTATAGCAAAAACTCCTCAAAAAAACAAACAAACAAAAAAAACCGAAAAACACACACCCAAAAAAAAAAAAAAAAAAAAAAAAATAAGGAAAAAAAAAAAAAAAAAGAAGTGGAACCTGGGTAAATCTTTCTTGTGTTTCGTGGCGGTAGACCATACTCCCTAGTGACCATGCTCACCTTGTAGCGGTGTGTTTACCATTTACCAAGCAAAAAACTAGGTGAATCCCAGCTTGTCAAAGCTCGTCTCAACTTGTAGCTCTAAGAACAAACAGGGCTGGATACCTTCTGTTCTTTCCTGTGGGAGGCAGAAAGAAAGCAATAGGAAAAACTTGGATCACAATCAGATCACATGGAACAAAATAGAACAATGAGATTTTTGGAGTGTGGGAAGAGTTGGTGCTTTTTTTTTTTTTTTTACTATAGAGCATGTTCGTCTGCAGGAGAAACAGATAGAGAGTAAGAAAACATTCCCCAGGGTAGACGGCCAGGCTGCAATATCTTCTCTGTTCTCCTCTCAGGATTTTGGGCACAGACGCACACATGCTCAGCATGAGTTTACACTGCTGGGTCCAGGACTCAAACTGCGGTTGACTGTGTGGGAGTCCAGTGGC